GGTGTCATATGGCATACTTTTATGAGTGTTTCCTTGTCTGGAAGACTTTCTTACCTGACCATATACATTAATAGTTAGCTTTGGCAGGGTGGATATTCTCAATTTGGCAGTTTTTTCTTTTAGCTTTCAGAAAATGTTATTCCTGCTATTGGGGCTGTGCCCCAGGGAACAGGGACCAGTTTGGGGCTGACTGGAACTGAATTATTCTTGCTTGCACTCCTGTCTCTATCATGCATGGCACTGCCAGTTGTGATCTGGGGAACTGTGTTCCGTCACAGGTAAATATCCCAGTGGTTATTCAATTGCTGCAAATTATGATCTAATTATCTATCTTTCCCCATACTGGCAAGTGTGGAGATGTGGAGAAGGAGAAAGGGGTTGGTTGATGTAATCACTCTGGTCCTGGACTGTAGGAGCAGTTTGGATAGCAGAGAGAAACTCTGGCGTGAGGTCTTGTGGTTAGTTCTTGGATGCTCTCGACAAGCCTAAGATTATGTCCACTTTTAGAAAGAAACCCAGGGGGAAATTATTGCTCACTGCAAGTTTCATATCTTGGATGCAGGAAGGAATGGTGGATGCTATCCTCCTGGACCTAGCGAGGGGTTATTGGTTGTGTTAGTCTGGATACTTTAGAGAAACAAATCCACAGAAACTGATGTGTAAGAGAGAGTTTTATATAAAGTTTAAGTGTGCACCAAGAAAACATCCAACCCAGTGCTGCTCAAGCCCACAAGTCCAACATCAACCCATTAACCCATATGTCTGACACTCATCCACAATGTTCTCCTCCATCTCACAAAACACATGCAATGATGCTGACTGCAGGAGGAAAGCTGAGTTAGTGAATGTATAAGCATCTCAGTGCTGGCAGGGGTCTCCACACGGTAGGTCCATGAGGCTTCTCCTTGGGGATGTCTTGCAGGAAGTCAGCCTTGCCAACTGAAACAGGAAACTGCTAAGGCAGCTGCACCCTGGTGCGACCATCACAAAGCAAGAGACCAGAGAACTGAAAGGCGAGGCTCACTGAGCCATTTATCCCTCTGCCCTTCAATTAACTCCACTTGTGTTTATTGGCCAGGTTGGCACAATAAACTAACTAACTCCGCGGTGCCCACCGGTAGACATAGTGAACTTAGAGCATTTCTGTGAATTCTCAAGTCACTTCATGGGTGAAAATTACAGGGGATGGTCTGAATCAGACCCTAGTACACTGAATCTAATTTTAGCACCCAGTCTCCCTATTGACCTCCTTACCTCTTAATTTTCTGGATAACCAGCAGTAACACCAGGCAGGTGATTCTACTTGACTCTGCCTCCATCTTGACTCTGCCTCAATCTTACTCTTACTCTTACTCTTAATTCAGATTTACGATGTAAAAGATGCCAGTAATTTATCAATGCTTTATAAAAAATCTTGTGTGCTTTAACTGCATATGTAGAAAATAAAGACATGTTTAGATAGTAGCATGGCAATCAACATTTACATAGAACTCCTAGGCTTGAGATCTAGTCAAGAGAAACTTGTAGGTTAGGAAAAAAGTAGGGAAGAGTATCTTCTGATCCTTCAACTCCACTATTATGGATTAAAATTCAAGGAGGTTTCAAAGAAGTTTGTTGAAAATGGGGGAAAGTATATATGTTAGAATTTCCCCACAAAGTTCTTGAAAGCTGGTTTTATGTTACTCACAATATATGTTGGGATCCTAACCCTTTAGTGGTGTAGGGGTTAGGCATTGGGCATTGATTCCCGTGATTGGCAGTTTGAAACTACCAGCAGCTCCATGGGAGACAGACTGGGCTTTCTACTCTCATAATAGTTAAAGTCTCCAAACTCACAGGGGCTACTTTGAGTCGGCATTAGTTCAATGACAGTGAGTTTGGTTTGAGTTTATACCTGCAGATATGTTGAAGTCCTAACCCCTATACCTGTGGATGTTCCCTGTTTAAAAATGGGTTTTTTGTCTTGTTAATGAGGCCATATTGGTGTAGAGTGCTTCCTAAATCTAATCAACTCTGAGCTATAAAAAGAGCAGGTCAGGTAGAGACACACTGACACAGAGGAAGACCGGTGCTGTCTGATAAACCTACAAGTGTAGGAACCCCAAGGATTGCCAACTGCAAGCTGAAATAGAACAAAAGGACCTTCTTCTTAGACCCAAACTATGGATATAGAGTTCTAGACTCCTGCTTTATGGAATATACCTTTCTGTTTTTAAATACCACCATGCATTTCTGATACAGAGGTAAGAAACCAAGACATCTACACTCACATTGAAGTGACTATAAAAAAAATCAAGAGAAATAGTGGCTATGAATGACAAGACTGCTGAGCAGCCAAATTTTGCTGCATACTTTGCAGTTGCAATCAGATAAAAGGAAGCAGAAAGAATCATTTCAGGATACTAGAAAGCTGTTCTTAAGATACCAGTGGGTGTCACGGGAAATAAGTAAATTGCATCCCATCATAATTACTGCACTGATTATCTAATACTGCTGACATGTCTCAGCACAAAAATTGTTTGTTTAAAATAAGTCTTCTACTCTTCCATGTCTCAGGGGTTCCAGGCTGGCATCCATGGAACCCTTTAGGGTGGATGATAATCTTTCTCTCACTGTACAGAATTTCACCCATCTAATTTGGACTTCCTCTAACATAGTAATCTCAATAAGATCGGATTTATTACAGGGCAGCTAGCTTTCCCCAAAATAATATTCCAAGAAGATTGGGAAAAAGCTTCAAATGTTCTATGCCATAAGCTTAGAAGCCATGCTTGTAGCAGAGTCTGTTAGTCAAAGTAAGTAATAGGGCTGAGCCAGACTCAATGAGAAGGCATTACTGAGTGTCAATACTGCAAGGCAGGCTCATTAGACGTTATCTTGGAGAGGAGCTTCTACATTGCTAAATTTGGAAAGTTGAATTCTAGACTCAAAGGCACATGATCTGAAAGAGTTCACTTTCAGTGATTTTCCTAGACCTCATAGTCAGTAAGTAATATGAGATTTGAATGCTTCCTAGACTGGCTACAGGGATTGTGTTAAAGTCGTTGTGTGCTGCAATTTGGTAGAGTAGTAACAGGGTAGAAAGAAAAATCATATAATGGATGACAGAAGTAAAGGAAGATTATGGCAGTCCAATATACAAAAAAAGGATAAAATATTCATGATGATGGCAAAAAAGAAAAAAAAACCAGGATAAAAAGCTCTTAAAAGATATAATACGTAGAAAGAAGCATGTGTCCTTCTGTTTGTGAATCGAGGGTATTGCTGTTAACTACAAAAATAAACAAAAGAAACCTCTAAGGTAAGAATATTAAAATCCAAATATCTACTAAGAGCCATTAAAATAGGAAATTTCTGTACAGAGGATTGCCTTCACTTTCACAAATTATCTAATAGTAACAATTGAAATCACAAATTTGTAGAATGTAGTATAAGTAAGTTTACATAACAATGTCAAAAAGAATCAAAATAATATCATACTTGAAAATATGCGTAATTAAAATATATATTTTTAAGTATGAAAGGAAAACGGGATGATATTCTATAACTTCCTGTTTTACATGTTCATAATTACTCTCAATTCTTGATATTAGTAACTGAGAATATATAGGTTTGATCTTTAATGTAAATGAATTTTAATAAAGGACTTTAAAAATTGATGCATATATTATACATTTTTAGAGGCCAACAAGGGTCGGCATCCTATAAAAGAACAAGAAACAAAAATACATGAAAAAAACAAACAAACAAAACTTTGAACCCTCACAAGTTATAGGAAAACAAAATAAAACAAATTAAAATTACAAAAGATATAGAAATATCATCTATGTAAACAAATGCAAATAGTTCAAATATCCTTTTAGTGGGATAAATATTTTAGTATTGTAAATCTTTAATGACACAAATATTTTCATGATGGGTCTAAATCCTAAAACTCACTGAAGCAAGAATTACAATAAAGTAAATGAATATAAATATATAAGCTAAATATATAAATGAAAGCAATGCATGCATGACAATATCAATACACAAATAGGATAGAGAAAATAATTTGTTGGGACTAGAATAACTTCTCTTGGAAGAATTACTACCACACTAGTTCCAAGGAACTGGAGATTGAAGGTACCCCCAAATGTCCAACTCTTACAAGATGCTATTCTGCTCCATTTGATTCCACTTCTCCCTTGAGCATATTCCCTCACTTCCCTGCCTGCTCTGACTCACTGCAATGTCACACAGAAACGCACAAAGCTTTGAGGAAATACCTCACATGGTAGTGGGTGCTTTTCAGTCAAAAATCTGATGGTCACCCAGAGGAGGCAAGTCAAACGAAGGATCCGGAGCCAGAAGCCCAAAATGTCCAAAAGCCATAGCGAGTCTTCTTGCCTCTGGCTCAGCAAGTCGGGAAAATAGAGGCCTGCCTTTCCAGAGGAGGCACTCTGAGAAGAACTGGATGGGGTCCCCAGTGTGTATCCTAGGAAGCAAAGTATGGCCTGGCTCACTCCCATTACTAAAACGGGATCTTAAAGTTACCCTCACGGAAACAAAGGATGTGGTACAGCCCACACCCTCCACCCAAGTCCGGTCTCCTGTTCATCAGCATGGCAGGGAATGCCCTCTGAGACAGCACTGTGGCCACAGGCATATAAAGTTCTGAAATAATGTATCCTATCATGAACCATGGCTAGAAGGGCCACATTAATTGACCATAACTCAGGGGGAAATAACATTTTCCCTTGATAATGGATGAATTTAACAATGAAAACGATAATATGTAGCGAGAAATATACAACATTAAAAGTAACCACACCCAGGTACTTGGATTTCTCCATTCTATAGAAAAAAAATGCCTCATGCATATTTAAAAATGGAAAAAAACTAAGAGTACAGGTACACACTGTGATTTCTCTGCTAACCATTCAGAGTCCTGGAAGAATTGTCAATAGAAAATATCAGCTGTGGCAATGAATTGCTGTGCTGACTATGTGTTTTCATTGCAGGGCCACAGACCTTTCTGGAACAACCGTGGGCCTTGCTTTCATGTCAACCATGTGCTCCCCTTATCATTCTGTTGGCATTGTTCAGGTTTGTAATATATGACACGTTGGTTCTTTAGTTAATTATTTTCTTTAAAATAGGAGTCTTCTATGATTGTGATCATAATATAGAATTTATAGACACCCAATTTTAGAAATGAAAATTTGCTATCCTGTATTTAAGAACTACCGTACTAGTCTATAAATGTACAAAGAGTTTGGAAAAGCAAAAAGAATGAATAAAAAGCTGGGGCAGGTTTGAGGCGTCGAGGGGTTGATGAAGAGATGACAGGAATGGTGTGTTCTTACCTGGTCTCTGAAGGGCTAATGTGGCTCATGAGGCTGTAGGACATCTTGGAGGGGAAGAACGCCTGACATGTGGGGAGTCTTGAATGAGGAGTAAGGTGCCTCTTATAACGGGACCCTGGTAGGACTAGCAAATCATCATTTTGGATGCTGTATCAAGGGTATATAAACAAATAACCCAAGACTCCATTACCTCATCTCCATATGCTTGGGGAACTGACTGTATGGTATCTATATTAAAGTTCAAACTCTTAGGGTAATTGTGATAAAATAGCTAGAAGAATTCATTTGAGATATGAAAGGTGTGTTAGTCTGGATAGACTAAAGAAACAAATTCATGGAAACACTCATATGTATATAAGAAAGAGCTTTATATACAAGAGCAATTGAATATTTAGAAAATGTCCCAGCCCAGTCCAGAGCAAGTCCATAAGTCCAATATTATCCCATATGTCTAATACCAATCTATAAAGTCGTCTTCAGACTCATGAAGCACATGAAATGATGCTGAATGCAGGAAGATCACAGGCCAGAGGGTGGGAAGTCTTGTGGATCCAATGATGGTTTAAGCATCTCAGCACTGGCAAGGGTCTCCACATGGCTTCTCCAGCTCAGGGCACTAGTGTGTGGTGAGAGGGCTGAGATCAGTTTGCAAATTTAGTGAATTTAAGGCAACATGTTAACAATTCTTAATGAGACTGGAGAACTCTAATCAAGATAAATAGGAATACTTAGCATCTTTTTCAGTGTAGGATTAAGGAAGATACAATAATTCTATCATGAACACAAAAATGATAGATTAATATATGAGAAACCTGCTTGAAATATTAAAGGCCTTTATATATGAGTATTTTTAAAAGTCAGGATTATTAAAATATAATTTATATATAGAAAAAGTAATCTTTTTCATGTAGAGTGTTATGAGTCTTTAGAAGAACTTACAACTACCGTCTACAATCCAGTCTTAAAATACTTTTCCAGTCATAAAATACTTTTATCACCCTAAAGCTTTCCTTGTGACATTGTGGAGTCAACTCTTTCCTCCATCCTCCTCACCTAGGAACCATAGGTGTGCTTGCTGTCACTGAAGTTTTTGTTATAAACACTGTAACATAAATGCAATCATATGACTGAATCTGTTTTCAAAATTAGCATAATAATTAAAGATTTATTCAAGTTGATGTACATATAGTAATTAATGTCATGCTCTTTTTAATCAGATTGACAAAGGTTTCTTCTCTTCCTAGTTTCTTAAGATTTTCTTTTGTTGTCAGGAATAAAAATTAAATTGGGAAAAATTCTTTTTTCTAAATAAAATTAGACCAACAATATATTTCTTCTACTTTACTCTGTTTGACATAGTAAATGGCTTTCACTGAATTCCAAATGCTAAATCAACCATACGTTTCCACAATAAAACCAAGTAATCTATTTTATTTTCTATATATATTTGATTTGATTTTTAATTTATATTGAAGATTTTGGCATCTATATTCTGAACAACATAAATTAAAAATGATCCTTTCCTGTAGTATATCCTTGACGCTTTTTTTTAAATCAGTGTAAACGGTACACACAAAAACGAATCAAAATGTGTTCCCAAGTCTTCCATTTTCTAGAATATTCCTAAAATATGTGTTGCAATTAGTAAAACCATTGAGTATGATGTTTTCTTTGTAGAAAAGATTTTAGCTACAAATTAAATTTTTTTTGTTTTAATATGGCAGATGTAGGGCTATTTCAATGATCAGAATCCCTTGAATAATCTGTGGTAGCTTGTGACTTTCATTAAATTTGCTTATTTAACTTAAAGTGGCATAGCTTTGATAAAATTTCTTTGTCATCCTTTAATATGTGCATAAATTATAGTAGTGTTCTCTCATTTATGATATCAGTAATTCATGTGCTTGTGTTTTTGCTCATTCTGGCTCTGTTTTGTCAATTTTATCAATCTTTCCTAAGAGCAGTATTTTGACTTTATCGATCCTCTCTATGGTTTTCATATTATCAATTCCATTGATTTGTGTTCTTGCCTTTCATATGTCCTTCCTTTGGCTTTGAATTTAATTTATTCTTCTGTTTCTAGTTTCTTAAGGTAAAACTTCAGATAATTGATTTGAAGGATTTCTTCTTTTTGGCTATAAGCAATAATGACATAAATTGTCTACTATGCACAGTTCTACATACATGCAAGATATTGTATATATGGGTTTTTATTTTCACTAAGTTAAAAATATTTTCCACTTTTCCTTTTGATTTGACTTCTGTTCTACTTAAAACTATGTTACAAATGCTCTGTTACTGAATCTTCAATAGTTTTAGTTAATATTTCCATTATGAAATTTTTCCTTACTCTCATTTTTAACATATGTATGTGTTCTACAGTTAAAGAATTCTGGAAGAAAGTATATGCTTGGATATCTGTTTGCTTCTTTATCTAATCCAAGCGTTTTACACATTGTATTTAGACCATTTTATAAATTATTGATATTGTTGGAGCAAAAACTTCCATTTTCCTAATTGTTTTATGTAAGTTACATTTATTCTTTGTTTTACATTTCTGTCTTCTTTTGTTCTGATCTAGTATTATTTAATAATGTAATTTAATCTCCACTAATTTTTTTGATTTATGTTTATTTTATTTTAGGAGTTACTCTGGGTTTTTTTAATAGATAACATTTATATGGGGTTACAGTGCAGTGAATTTTATCTGACCCTTCTAATCATAGTCTTTGTTCCTCCCACCAAGTGAGCTTTACCTGAGGGGTCTAGAAAGAGAAAGTAGAGGAGGAGACCAATTGGGTTATATGATTTAACAATGAGTGATTGTTAAGAGGGTTCATTGTGATTGCTATCCCTCTGGATATAAAATGAGCCATCTCAGAAGCGGGAAAAGGGGGTCAGAGGCCTACTACCAGCAAGAGATAGGAACAGATGGTGTTCTTTGGAGCCCCAGCTCCCTTCATCTTGAACCTCCTTGATTAAGGAGACAGCTTTGACATCAGAGGATGGCAGAGGAAGAGCAATAGCAGGACCAAGAGCCAGAGCATGAGACAAAGCAGTGGACTTCTCAGCCCACAGAGCCAGCTAAGCTGAGTGTTTGGGGCAGGAGGCTGACTTGTGCAGGGGTGCCTCTGGCCACTTAATTCGGGGAGTTTTGTTTGCTGACCCATGGAGCTAGAGCTGAGTTCTTTGGGGCAGAAGTTTAGGGGAAGTGGCTTGCCCTTTGGGTATTTTCTGGCAGCTCTAAAATAACTCTGTAGCATTACATGAGTAGAGCAGAGGCCCTGAAAGGCCCAATGCTGGAGACAGGCCTGCCTGCAAGCACCACTGAGAAAAGGCTGTCCTATCTGAGTGATTGTTTCCTGAGCATTTGTAATTTGTTAATTTCCTGTATAAACCCAACACTTGTGAGTATTGTCTGGGAAGATTCCATCTTGCCATCGCAGTGAATTATCAAATCCAGCTGAAAAGTAGAGAGAGTTCTGGAATGGACAGTGGGTGTCAGGATTGGGAAAGTGGAAGCATGTCCGAAGTCAGCCTATTAGGAATCCATCTTGGATGGTTGATGCTGCTGCTGCTGCTGCTGCTGCTGCTGTTTTTGCTTCACCCCTTTGACGTTAGAGGAAATCTGTTGTCTCCCTCACGCCATTTCTCTTTTTACAACTTAGTGCTGTCATTTTAATTACTTAAAATTACTTTCCATTCTTTTCTATTGTTTTCTATTTGAGTCCTTTTTGTTAATGTATCAAGTCCTCTGATCCATTTCTCAGTTATGCTTGGTCTGCCATTGAGCTGTAGAACATATTATTCATCTTCATCACTGTGTTTTTCATTTCTACAATTTCCATTTCATTCATCTCTTTTATAGGACTCAGGTTTATGCTGAAATTTCCCTGCTCTTGCATATTATCTATATTTTCCATTAAAATGTTTAATATAGCATAGTAGTTGTTTTAAGTGCCAAGTCTCACAGTTCAAGGAGCAGCCCTGGTGGCTTAGTGGTTATGTAACAGGGTGCTAACTGCAGGGCCAGTCTTTTGAAAACACCAGCCTCTCCATGGCAGAAAGATGGGGCTTTCTACTGCATTTGAGTTACAGACTCAGAAACGCACAGTGGCCAGTCTACCCTGTCCTATATGGTTGCTGTGAGTCATCATCCAATCAGTGGCAGTGAGAGAACAGTTCAAGAGGCCCTGGGGGGGCCGTGGATTGAGTGTTGTGCCGGTAATGAGGCACTGTCTATTGGAACTCCTCACAAGAGAAAGGTAAGGCAGTCTGCTTCTACCAAGGTGCAGCCCAGGACCTCCTCTAGGGCGGTTCTACTCTGTTCTTCAGAGTCATTTTGAGTTGGAAATGCCTCCCTCCATGGCAGGCGTTTGCTTTGGTCTGGTCTGAGAGTTCTAATACCTGCATTGGTGTGAGTCTCCTGTTGATTAGCGCTGGGTGTTCTGTTTTGTAAATCTCACTCTTTTCTGTTGGTTTATCTGTGAAAGACAGTAGAGTGAAAAATTATGTCTAAACAACACCCCTTTATTTCCTCATCATAGGACTTGAGGATGAGATTTTATTCACTCTACTTCAGAGGAGGTAGGATAGACCTTTTTTTTCAATTGCTAGGATTACACTCAGTATATCACAAGTTTTAACTCACCCTGGAATTACTTTGCAATGAGGGTGAAGATGCATTTGCTGCAAAGCTTTCACGGAGTGTTCCGTGCTCAGCTTTGAGTCTTCCTTCTG